TAAAAAGGTCAGTAAACATTAAACTACAATTAAGGGTAAGAAGAGACGGTTTCAAATCAACAAAACAATTACTATTCTCATTAAAACAAGTTAAAACCCTTTGGATAATTGTAATTTTAATAACATTTTGTGAGCCATGCAGGAGAAAAGCTTTAAATAAAACCATCTGCTTGCTTTAATAGTCAGTGCAGCTAGAATTAAAACCAGAAAATAAACAATTAAAGTCTTTACTGAGTTACTTATGTCTCTTTACTGAGTTACTTATGTCAAAAGGTATGGGTAAAATCTGCATCTTAAATGACTTCACGAAACAGCTTATATACATTATCCCTAAAGCCCAGCTTCACTGGTGGCCAAATGAGCTCAAATTAAAACCAGAAGACTTCTGGACCAACATGAAGCTGGTTTATTGGTCATTATACTGCACAATAAATTTAAAATTACTGTTAACTTTACATTTACACTATTAGCTGATGTTGAATTGTCTTCTTTTTTTTATGTGACAGTCAAAAACGGGATTCTAACAAGCCTAAATATGAGGTAGGATATAAAACTTCAGAACTTTTTTGTTACAGATACAAATGTAGCCTGAAAGAGCTCCAAGTGCTGAAAGTTGTCCTCATGTGTTCGGTTACGTTCACAATTTTAAAAATAAATATATACCTGATTTAGCCATTTTTGCAAGTTTCAAATCATTTAGGAGGATACTGTGTTCAGGCACCTGGAGCCTTTTAAAACATGTTAACATTTCCCAGGTAAGCTACTGGTGAATATCATAATCATAGTTTTATTAATGTTACTCAATATCAGACATCATCACAAGAATTGTAAAACAACACCACTCATCAGTGAAACACTAAGGCACATGGCTTTGTCACCCTCTGCTGGCTGGACACAGCACTCCAGAAATAATTCAGTATGGTTTTTGTCTCTGAGAATGTTTATATACTTTATTTTCTACTTTAGTTAAAGATTGAAACAAGTTTCATCTGTCGCAGATTAAAGTGGAGTAAAATTAAGACAACATCAGTCTTTGTCTGATCAAAACCTTAAACAGATTGTGCATAAGACAAGTAGAGATGCATGTTAATAATAATAGCCTATAACAATAACAACTAATAATCTATACAGTCCCAAGCTAAAGCCACGATTTTAGTTAATTTTTAAAATAATAAGTTTTATTAAGACTGAGATTTTGAGTATTTGAGCCAACATATCTACAACATGCAGACTCAACTGGACTTAAAGACCAAGTCTGGGTCACAGTGACAGCTACATATATGGTTACACAATAATAATAATAATAACAATAACAACAATAATAACAATAATAATAACAATAATAGGTTAAAAAGCAGAAAATCAGACACTAGATGGGTTAGAAATATGGACACAAAATAAAATAAGCTGAAAAGTACTTGCAAAAATCAAAGCAAGAGTTCGATGAACAGTTTCAGACCGGAGGAAAACCACAATCCATAAACAAGAACGGAAGGAAACATAACAACTCACCTTGATCTCGGAAAGCTGAAACTCGACCTGGAAGACCAGTTCAGAGCAGTTACCCGACAAAGAGAGCTGCTGAACCAGCTTTCTGCCACCTAACATACACAAATGCAGTTATTTTTAGATCTATCATTTCATACCAAAATCCACTGAAGGGACCTTAAAGCCTACAGTGCATTGTGTTCCAAAAGAATGTTGTTCATGCATTATTTACATTCATGGTAGAAGCCTGTCTTTTTTGGCATACAGTCACATATAAGTTTTTGATCAGTGTCAATCATGTAGGCACAAACCAAATAAATATTGTTTAGCTCATCAAAACCTTGCAGATAATGGGAAAAAACAAACAAAAATACAAACAAAACCCAATCAAACAACAAAAAATAAAATAAAAATACATTATATACTAAACTACACCGGGAACAAATTAAAACACTAAATGACATAAATAATTAAAATGCATCAGATTTATATTCTAATGGAATCTTAATCTTCTATTTAATACATAACAGGTCAGATGGCAGTGAAGACTGTGGTTTGAGACCCTGCTCTTACTGTTTTGTAGAGTCTTTGTGGTGCAGCTGTTCAAAGTGATGCCATTAATTTCTGTCTGCAGTTTCACATCCTCCTCCAGCTCCTCCAGCTCCTCTTTGAGTCTGGACATCACCATCTCCTTCCCTGCTTCTTGTCTCTGCCCGCACATGAACACTCTGTGAAGCCAAATAATTTATGATGTAAAGCTGTAGACAGATTTCGCAAAATGCAGAACAAAAATTAAACTCACAGAGCATTTTCCATTTGTTGGCTGTAGTGGAACGTTATGTCTTTATTGATTTCCTGTTTTTGGTGCTGCAGCGATTCAACTTCAGCTTGAAGACGCTCGATCTCAGACTCAAGCACCATCACCTCCTCGGTGTTATCATCACTCATCTTCTCCATCTTGAAGGATAAAAATCAAATGATTTAGTTAAAACAAAGACACGCATATTCGTTTGCAAGCACAACTTTATAACTTATAAAAAAGTATCAATTTGAAATTTACAGATTAAAACCACAAATCTAAAAGAAAAGAAAGAAAAAAAATTGTACTTAGAGGAATTACATATTTTCAATCTGAAAAGTTGGATCAACTTCATTATATTACAGACATTGCTAATTTTCATTTAATATCAGTTAATAATCTAACCAACCAATAATTTTATACTAATTATTGGATGCAATAAAGAAATGGTTTTGACTCTAACAGAGAATCACTGTTTTACCACAAACAACCCTACTTTCCTTCTCTTAACTCTCTCGTCATGGGTGCTTGTTCCAGTTTAGGTTAATCCAGCTTTGCAGAGTGAAGTGATAGGAATCCATGACGCTTGGACTAATAGGGTAGCTTTCCATTTGAATTCAAAATTAATCTCTCTTTATTTGACACTGGTGAAACTCCTTATTTTATCCTCTCCCTTTCAATTAACTTTAGTCAGACTAACGAATTTACTGAAACGGTGAAAAGTGAACACGGCACCACTGAAGAGGTGCTTTTTCGAGACTTTTCAACTATAAACGCACTCCATAGCCTTGCTAATAGTCTAAAGTAAGAAAAAACGTGTCAAAGTGGTTACGCTTTCATTAGTTGAACCAGTAAATCCCGGCTAACGAGACACTATAAAAATAACAACAACGTTAACAACAACGGACAAACTGTCGAGCTAACTTTCCACAAATGTTTCCGTTGTGAAGAAGAAGTGTTTTTAACAATTCACAGTTCTATGTCAGTAGCTGAAATAAAAGAGTTCTGCCATTATTAAGTAATGATTACCTGTATTTACCTGTTTGTTTTCCGTTTCTTAGCAGATGGAACCGAGCACTTCGGAAGCTCGCGCCCTCTGGATTCTACCACTTTTCTAAAATCCGAGGGGGGAAGAAATTGCCTCCTTGAATAACAGTCACGCCAGCACTATGGGTCTGTTAAAACAAATACTACTGTTGTATACATGTTTGCATTTTAAAGTACATATAAGTGTTTTATCATCGCAAATGAGCCACAAAATCATAGCCCACCAGGAATTTGGGTGACTCCTTCACCCCACGTAGAAATAATGGAAATCCGCAGCTGTACCTAGTGCGTATTATTTTTTTCTCCTTTATCAATAAAATGGAATATAACAATTATATGTTAATTAGCTTTCTTAAGTAAACACTTTTATAATTAAAAATGTACCGGCATCCCTTAGCAGCGAGTTCGTTTATTTATTCATTTTTAAACCACCGTTGAGTCTACGGAACATTTGGGTGGTTCCCGAGAAAAATGTTACGGACGGATTTATCTACAGGACCTCAGCTCCGGACAGAAATTGTGGTAACACCAGCTGGATACATGTGAGGTAAACATTTGTAGCTTTTCGGACTTTTTATGTAAAAATGCTCGTGATAACAAAGTAGTTATAAAGTAGTTCGAGTAGTTATAAATCGACTCACTTAGAGATCATATATGTAGTAGACGCTCTATGATTTATGTTATGCTCTATGTCTGGAGTTCCTCCAGGCTGAAATGGATTTACTGGATCCACTCAGTTGCATACAGCTAAAACCTGAGGCTCTGCTCTCAGTCCAGTCCTCTTAAGTTTATTCATTTTGGACGCTGCTTTAAAATGTGTTTCAGCTTTAAAGTTATTATGAAGTCTTTGGTTTGTAATTTCGTTGGGTTGTGCTGTATTATACTGAGAAGCACAATGTGCAGTGTAATGGAGTGGACACAATATTAGTAACAGTAAAACACAATTCAGAACCGTACAGACGAGCAGATCTCATCTGGCCTGATCTTTCATGCGAGCAGTGAGAGTATCTGTAGATTTATGAGAAGCATTTTGCTTTTCGCTTTTTGTTTGAATATGAATTTATTTTTTGTATGACTTTCCTGCATGTTTTACAAATGGTTATGTATGCAGTATTTATAAATGTGTAAAATATGCGAGGTAGTGATAGTGTACTTACTATGCCTGGTAGATCAGCTGAACATCAATTTACAAGGCTTTTTAAAGTGTAGCCACCTTATACTTACAGTCACAGCAATGCGGCGGCTGTACGTCGGTGGGTTAAGCCACACGGTCACTGAGAAGGATCTGAAGGATCGATTTGGAAAGTTTGGAGCCGTTGAGGATGTGGAGCTCCGGACCAGGAAAGACCCAGAGGGTGAGGAATCCAGTATACACTGACACACTTTGACAGCCAGAATGGTGACAGTAACGATGTTTAAATTCTGTTCATCTAATTTTATTCATGTTCTGAGACTTGAAATCACCTTTCACATTCAGCACTGTCACTATCAGGTACTTGTACAATTGTTGTATTGAAAGGCGTCTGATATTAACGAACCCAGCAGCATTCATTTATGTTTAACTTTATTTGTTAAAAGTTAAAATCCAAAGAAAACTAAACTCTAAAGCATTTTCTTATTTTACTGTGCATTTCTATTTAAAACAAGAAAACATACTTAAAGTTTGAACTTCTTTACATCTAATTTGCATTGAAAAAATCTTTAGCTGTTGTTCTCACACTCCACAAATTATACAACTTTATTTACAAGTGATGCTTAAATACAAGATGTCAGGTGTGCTCTGAACATTAAAAAGATTTTCAATACAACTGTGAAAGTTTAGTTTACTTTTTTATTTTTTTGGTCAGGGACAATAAAAATTAATCAGAAAAAGCATAATCGAAAATAGATTTATGATCATTATGTTTTGTTCATTATGAATTCTTACATCTTTATAATTCTTATTGTTCCTCCTGCAGGTGTTCCCTATAAAACCTTTGGCTATGTCAACATCAATATTTCAGATGCCGACCTGAAGAAATGTAAGTGACCATAGCTGCCGCTGAAAATCCTCAGATTTAACCCTCTGAGGACTAAGTCATTATCAGTGACAACCCCAAACTTCTAACTCTAAACATGTGTTTTAGGATTTAAGGGTTGTCATCCCCACTAAGTAAGTGGGGTTAGGTTAATTGGAGACTCTAAATTGTCCACAGGCGTGAATGCGGGAGTGAATGTGAGTACAAATGGTTGTCTGTGTATATGTGTTAGCCCTGCAACACACTGGTGACCTGTCCAGGGTATACCCTGCCTCTCGCCCTAAGACAGCTGGGATAGGCTCCAGCACCCCCCGCAACCCTGAAAAGGATAAGCGTAAGCGAATGGATGGATGGATAGATGGATGTTATGCTCCAAGGTGCATAACACAAATACAACACAACAAAAGCAATATATACAAAAACCAGAAATAAGAAACTTAGTTACAGTATATTTAAGTCTAAATAAGAATTGAGAGAAGCACAGATGACTATTTTGAGGGGAAAAAGTAAATAATTTCTTATGTGTGTCAGTGAGAATTATTTTTTTTGTTTGTTTTATATTTACCAAAACCTTGGAGAAAACAAACATATTCTGTGAGCATAGGGTTGGAGTCGTCACCAGTGATGACTTAGACCTCACAGGGTTAACTAACTTGTGTAACTAATATTCATTCACACTGTTAGTGGGATGCCTCACCCGCCAAACTGAATGAACCCTTCATCTAAACATGTAGTTAACACTTTCAGTGAGAATTATGTTTGTGTTGTTTGCACCATTGAGTAAATTTTCTACAGTCTGCTTTTTAAAGTAACATCAAAAAAAAACTGTTGCATTATGAGATTGGTGTGTTTCCTCTGCAGGCCTGACAGTGCTAAACAAGTCTAAATGGAAAGGGGGAACTCTGCAGATTGAAATAGCAAAAGAAAGCTTCCTGCACAGGTACAACCACGTCGATCTCGCCATGTAAATCTAACACTAACAGAAAAGTGAAAATTATTATTGAATTATTGGGGGGGTGATTTTTTTTTTTAAACTCAGACTTTAATATCAAGGCTCACAACTGTTGATTGTCTGGTTTGAAAATTCTGGATTTTATGTTCACCAATCTTAAAAATTTGATCTCTACCGGTAGAAAATTATTCCTATCTATTAGCTTGAGAGCTAAAAGCTCTGTATTAACTGTGTCATAGGCTGGCTCAGGAGCGGCAGGAGGCAGCAGAGCAGCGTCTCCAACAGCCTGCAGCTGAGGACAAGAGACAGAAGCTTCTGGACTCACTGAGTAAAGCTGGTGTGGACAACTTCACCATGAAGGCTGCGGTTCCGGGGACCGAAATCCCAGGACACAAGGTCTAGTCATACTCTTTCCCTCAAGACATGATTATAACGAATGCACTTGCTCTCTTGTGGGGTCATGTGGTCACAATGTGGAAACCAATTCTTTTAAAAATTGAATCCCCTTAACATAAATTATTACATTTTAGTTTTAAGGGTTTAAGGTTGGTGTTGACTGTCCTCTGGTTTCAGGACTGGGTGGTCAGTAAATTTGGACGGGTCCTCCCCATCTTGCAGCTCAGAAGTCAGAAAGGAATCAAATCTCGAAACCTGAAGTACGACCCATCGAAATACAGCCACAATATTCGCAAACTGGACCGAAACACCATCCCTGATGAGGCCACACCTGTGACCCAGCTCACCTGGGAGGTCCAGGGTGGGGATGACGAAATCAGTAAGAAGAGGCGGGGGGAGTTCCCCCCTTGTGAGCCATGGAGACCCAAGAAGAGTCGGACAGACAATGTTTCTGGCAGAACCAGGTATCCATGTGACCTTTTCAGACTATTCAAGTAAACCAGGTTTGATTTGGTTAATCCACAAGGTCTCAGTTGGTTTCTGTCTTTTCTGAGGGCCTCTGGGATTTTAGATTTTCCTTCCTCGATCCACTTTGCTTCCTGGACATTTTCTGTAATTTCTGGGATGCCCAGGTGTTAGCTTTGGAATTATGAGGGATATCTGCTGGTACAAGTGATTCTGACATATTTATTTCTGGAGTTAAGATAACATTTTTTTTTAATTACTAAAACCTCTAATGGATTTATTGTGTTCTTCAAGCCTCCTGGTTTCTGAACTTGTTAGAAGTCCACACTTGTTCCAGACATTCCATATTTCCATTTTTGTTTAATTCTCAAAGGTTCCTATCAGATTTCCTGATGTTCCTAGAGCTTTGCAAGCTTTCAATAATCCGTTCTGATTCATGGATTCTGGGTTTTTGGAATACCAGTTTATGAATATTTAGTGTCCCTTCCTTTTGTTGATTTACCTTAGATTTGAACACCCTGTCAACTCTGTCAATCACACTGAGGCTCATCAGCTCACCAACGGATTTCAAAAACAAAACGACCACAGACTGGCACAGAGGAAGTGGACACACTTTACTGACAGCGATGCTGACTCAGAAGAGGAAATCCACAGGCTGGTGGCAGCTCAGCAGACCTTCCATGTTACACCACAGCAGCAGGAGGTGGAGGAGGATAATCTGGAAGTGGTTGGATATGACTTCTTAGCAAAATCTGCATGCAAAGGTAACAGATGTGTTTGAAACAGGCAGTTTGTGCGTTTTAATAATTCAAATTTGTCATTGTTTATGTTTACAATTCTACCTAAGTGATGAGTTTAACTTTATGGCTGTTTATTCATTTTACTTTCAAATGCACATGTAGGTTCACGTGTGCAAAAATGCAATAACAAAGACTTCTCACACAGGATCCTGTTGTACTGAAGTAACCGTGAAAGCCACAGGTTTCATTTTGTATGATTTCATTTATACTTTGACGAGCAGAAAATATGCCAAATTCTTAAACAGATTACATTAACTAACCTGATTT